ACTGACATATGACATCTTGCTGCTTTCATCAATTTAGAAGTAGCATTTCCCTTTGGTACCACAATTGTTCTCTGCAGTTAAGTATGGTCTGTCGCTCTGTGCCTGAGCAGAGAGGAGTCTGCTTTGGGCAGACACACAGCACCTCAAGTTCTGTAGTGAAACACCAGAGAGTTTTGTGGTAGGTGGGAAATTGTGGCCAATTTGAAAATAAACTAAAATGATGATTGCAAACAGTGCAGTTGAATTTCTGTCGTTAATTTTGTGCTTCAGAGAGAGAAATCTATTCAGTACCAGCAGCCTATGGACACACCTAAAGCTTTTAGTGCACAGAGGGCTAGGGCAGCCTTCTGTCTTACTTACAAGCCTGAGGAATGTCTTGGCCTTGTGAATCTCATTATGTACATCAAAAATTAGTGTAAGAAAATGGCAGAGGATCCTGGCAGAAGACACACCTCATGGACAATTTTCTTTATTCAGATAGTTTTTTACCGTCACACCACTGCATCTAGGGGATGAGCAGGCACTGGGTGAAAAGTGATCAGGAGAGTGGGAGGTGAAGGACTAATGAGAAATAAGGGAAGGGGAGAGCAAAGTGACAGGTTAGAGAAAGGCATAGAGTGACACTGGAAAAGGCAGACAGATGGCCTGGAAAGGAAGGAGTTTATAAGGTAGGAAGAGAATTAAAGGAGTGGATATGTTAAAATAAATGGCTCTTGAGTTAAATTCTTAATATTTCCTGTACTGGGCAAGAAGCAGGAAAGTGACAAAAGCAACTAAGCCAGATTTCCAGCTGTTTGATTCTGTGCTGTTGCAAATAGCTTTTTTTGTTTGTTTGTTCATTTTGTTTTGTGTTTTTTTAAGAGCAAACTAACACAGTATCGCAATGCAATTTCACGTACTGCAGTGCCTCTGCACCACCGCCGTTTTCTCTGCTGCCCACTTGGGAGGGCAGTCTCTCTCTTCCCCCAGCAACACTACCTGGTAAAGCACTGAGGCAGCTCTCCCTTGGCATTGCCTGCAGCGACGTGTAGTGAGCTCTTGGGAAACAGCACCTGTAAACTCGTTCAAACCCTTGTCCTTGGCTGGACGGAGATGGCATCACACCACTGAAAGATTTCTAACTCCATTCTCTGAAATGCTGCAAAGATGGTGTGTTGTACAACAGCGTCGGCATTACAGTGTTTATTACAAGCTGGAGGGCAATTGGTTTGGGTATGCTGACAGAGTGGAAAAATACCTGCAGGTCACCTGGCTGGAGTTATGCCCGCATGGCAGACTCCTCCAGTGCTACCAGCCTGGCTGCTGGCAGCGCTTCCTCCATCCCTGAGGCTGGAGACGCAGCAAAAGCTCTGCCATACTTGACTCCTCGGCATGTGGCTGCTGGGGGAATGTCGGCAGCTGCTGTCACCTAGAGCCACTTGGCTAGAAACTCTTCAGATTTACGGTGGCAAGTGACAGAAATGTGAAGATGGAGGAGGTTTATGGTAACAGAAAATGCAAGAGCTTGCTTTGTCAGACTGAGTTTTTCAAATCATTCACGTGTTTATTGCCTTCATTGCGGGATTACTGCATTTAACTGTTGCAAGCAGAGAAATCCAGACAGAGCCTGAGCCATGATGATGGTATCAGCAAGCTTTTTAAGGAGTAGACAAGCAGGCAGAGCCATGCTGATCAAAATCAATAAATAACCTTTGGAGTACTGGACTTCTTTGAAACACAAACATCATTGAAGGTTTAGAAACTAAAAGCAAAGAATTAAGAGGTCACAAAAATAGTTGAGCTGCTTTGGTGCATTTGAACTGTATCAAACTGCTAATGACTCTTTAAAATAACTCATAATATTTAGCAGATGTATGTTGGCATCCGCATCAGTTGCCTGCTTCACTTGATCCGAGTGCTTCTACAGCACTGATGAGCTGATAATGATACATTAAAGCTGTTTTCATACTTCTGTGGAGTCTTGATATCTGCTGTGTCACAAAACATTAGATTTTCAGGTTTGTCCTCCTCTAAAAGACAGGCTTCAGAGACTTAAAAGGAAACATAAGTAACTGAAAGCCATGATTTGCCTAACACAAAAATAACATCTTTCTGTGTTTCAGACATTTTCATATAATTTTCTATCACGCAAGATTTCTAAACATTACTCACAAAACTAAAGGAAACAAAGGGAATGCGTTAAGGCCTAATAACAACAGAAGTGAGTCTGTATTTTGTGCAGTTAATTGAACAGTAAGCACTGTACGTATCCTGTTCTTCATGATTGCCACTTTGCTAAAGGATACAGCCCAGCAAAGCAATGAGCTGGGCTTGTGTAAGCTTCTGTTCCAGCGATAGCTGGGTTATAGATAAGCAAAGACCTTTTGCTCCCTGTCCATCTTCTGTTGTCTGTATCATACTCTGTAAGTCTCTGCATCTTCAGTTCATACAGGTAGGGTATGTAGTCATAGCTGGCTGGAATCTGATTATGTTGGTATGCTTTAATCCCTCCATCAGTCTCAGTAGCCATAGACAAAACATAATTATATACTGTCTTTTTCCAACAAATTCATGAGGCCTTTTTTGCCAGTCACTTTCCAGACATTTAAAAGAAAATTATCTGGTAACATGGCTTCTTTGGTCTCTGCTTTTAAAACCCGTGGGGATAGGGGCAAAGAAGTCCCAGACCCTGTGAGGACCTTACCGAGGCACAGAGCAGCAAGTATAACCTGTGAAAGGAGAGGACGGAGAGTATCTCAACTTCATCCTGCCTTGGGGGCATGTGTGACCTCCTACAGACCATGCTGATGCCTCAAATAGATGGCAAGAACTCCTTGTTCTGCCCCTGCCCCTTCATCTGCTGGTTCGAGCACATCTCTGCTGGCTAAGCAGCCCTGGTCATTGCTGATCTTTGCTGTGATCACCCGTCTGTTGTGTTCGGGTGTGCCTGCTGTTACTGACTTTTTGCTCTGCAGTCGGTGCCACTGGAAAGGAAAGATCTGGGTTCTTATCGTAGGCACTTACTCAGACCAGGTTATTAGGAGGATTCGCTAAAGCCATATTGTGTAGAAAGTCTAGTGATACCCATTTCTGCCATGAACATGCTCAGAGTTGTTCTTTGCCTTTTGAAAAGCCAAGAGGACGTTTCCTTTAATTCCTTTAATTTAGGTACGTTGGTTTGGTCTCTGCATAGTCCTTCCTTCTTGTATTGGTTTATATCGAACCCAACACTGTTCCGCTTATTCATGTACGTGACTAAGGATTTCGTGTGCAATGTAGGTGGCAGTTCAGCCTGTTCTCTTGTAGAGTTCCCTGCTGTGCAGGTACAAGCCCAGTTTGCCTCTTCATCTTTGAAAAATTCTTCTTTTCTATGACTATCATATGATGATGGAAATGTTTTCCTTCCAGATATCAAAAAATACTGTTTGTAGGAAAAGGCTTCTTTTTACTTAGCTGTGATAAGTATAAAACCTCTTTGAAAATCAAATATAAGCATGTTTGGGTTGGTTGCACTGGTGTTTGAATAAAACTGACTGCTGGTGGGTCTGTGCTCTTCCTACCCAACTTCTGTCCAGGTTCCACACAGAAATTGAGACAAGACTTTACACGAGGTTTGGGGGGTGGGGTGGGGGGCTTCGTTACACTAGTTATACTGCCCATGTGCATACTCATATCCATGATAAAAGGGAGAGTGGGTGGGGGGAATTTTCCTTGTAAGTGTTTTTTTCCTTGTAAGTGTTTCTTCCTAGTTGAACTATCAGTAAAAGGTGGCAGCAACAAGCAGGAGGTTTTGATTTTTTTTCTTATTGCAGTCAGCAGAGAGTAATGGCAAATCTAGAATTTGTTCTGCTGGCCTAATTAATAAAGAAACTCTCTACAAGTTTGTTACAGTAGTTTTCATTGTATAAAATAGAATTGCTTGCAAATCATATATGTGCTTTGTCTGTTCTTCTAGGCATGTTTTCCACAAAGTCTGTGTCGATCCGTGGCTTAGCGAGCACTGTACGTGTCCAATGTGTAAACTGAACATTTTGAAGGCACTGGGAATTGTGGTAAGCTGCACTGTTGTGAGCTCTTCTTCCTCCCGTGAGACCCGGAACAGGAGGAGTAACTGTAGAGGAGAAAAGGAGAAGGGTGTTCTAGTACCCTTCCTCTGAAAGGGTGTGGGTTTTTTCACCAATGTCTTTGCTGCTGCTAAAGCTGATTATGGGGTGGTGGTGATGTTTCTTTCCCTGGTTGGTCACTGAGAATATACTGTTATATTTCCATTTATAAGTTTCTTATCTCATGGATATCTACTGGGTTCTACATAATCTTCTCTTTATTCAACTTCATTCAACCTTTCTTTGTTACATTTACTCAGTAAATCTCGTTCTTGTTGTGGTCTCCTGCGGACACTCTTAAATTTGTTTCGCCCTTAAAAGCCGTGTCCTAGCCAAGGTCAGAGAGCTTTCCTCAAGCAGCTCCTGGCTTATGGGAATCCCTGAGGAATGCTTTTGCTGACCAGTTCACAAAGGGATCAAGTGAAGAACCTCAAAGAGGATTTTCCATCTTCCCCATATGAGGAAAAAAATTACAGAGCGGGAGCAATGCTCTTTTCAGAAGGAGGAGATAAGGCAGAAAGGAGAGCCTACGAATATACTGTCTAAAGCAGCTTTTGAGTCAAGCCAGTGAGAATAACCGGGCCTCCGTTGTTAGCTGTCTCAGTTGAAAATTTGCATGTTGTCTAAGAAATAGTTGCAGATATGATGACCTATTTTTGCAATTAATAACATACATGAATTTTTGGAGGAGGATACTGTAGAACTGGGTGCATTTCATCATTGCTCGTGGTCGTAAAGCCTACAGGCATAGGGTTGATACAAGCATATCTGAGTCCCTTTCTTGAATCTTAATCCCATTTCATGCTTCTTTCTCCACCTCGTTAAGGTGGACTGAAGAAGCAACTTTGGATAGAACACTTCTAATTCCTATGTTTCTCTCCTGTGAGGACAGCCATAGCAGCTGAATTTGGGGGGGTGTGGTGTGGTTTTACTCAATTTATAGGTTTGCTGCATGTTAAAATATTCACCGTTGTAACGTGGAATCGCTTGTTTTTCCAGCCAAACGTGCCGTGTACAGATAACGTAGCCTTTGACATGGAAAGGCTCACCAGAGGCCAGCCAGCCAGCCGGCGCTCGGCGCTCGGCGATTTTGCCAACGACAGCTCTCTCAGCCTGGAGCCCCTGCGCACCTCTGGGATGTCACAGCTTCCACAGGACGGAGAGCTAACGCCAAGGTCAGGAGAGATCAACATTGCTGTCACAAGTAAGTTTTCCTTGGCTTCCAGTACACTTCTATGGTTTTCCTGGAACGTGACACTTGTTATGCTGTAGCTCTGTGCTGCAGGGCCGTGGTGGGAGATTCCTCTGCAGGGACTAGGGTGACCTCAGTGTCTCCATATTGAAACCGATAACTCTAGCTATGACAGTGCCAACACTTCCATTATGAATGGTCAATCCATTTAGATCTGCATGCAGAGAACACTGGATGAACTAAAATGGCAACAAAATAAACCTCCTGAATTTGGTCACCAGTATGAGAAGCTGGATTGCTAAAGCCATTATTTACCCTTTCGGAATACCTTACATGCAATAACTTATACAAGTACGAATATTTTAGCTGATCACTATTTCTGCAGACATGTTTTCCCCTGAGAACATTACTACTGGAATTCTGATGTCTCTTAGCAGATGGCTTTTCCTACAAAATTTGTGAATTAAAAAAAAAAGGTATTTGATGTACTGACATTTGAGTATTGTGCAAGTGTGTTATGACATCAGAAAACTGTTCCTGCACTGCTTGCAAGCTCTTACCCATAAGAACAGCATGGAAAATTTCCAGGCATTGGATTTTACCTCGGATTTTTAGTGTGTAGTAGCACTATAATGAATACAATATGTGTGGAATTGCGTCATTTTTCCATATGCTGTACAGTCTCAATTTGATGCATGAATGATTGTTTTTCTGGCAGAATTGCAAAAATAGACTCCATGCAGTACAAGAGTCTTAATTTTCTCCCTATATTATGCGTATGTACATCTTTGGTTCAGATTGTGAACTTCGTGACACTGTTTGCCACTGATCTGTGTTGCTGTAACTGATACAGTCCATTAGAGTGTTTCTTTAGATGCTGTAGAAGAGTAAATGTCTCATTAGAAAATTCTCATCTTATGAAACACAGTTCATATCCAGAAATGCCCTGATCTGAGAAGGAAAAATCCACATACCAAATGTGGATTCTTTACAAAGCCAGTAAGTCGCTTTGTCATGCAGTGTTCAACATCTGATTCACCTTGTATTCAGCTCTCCTGAACTCAGAGCCAACCTGTTGGCGTGCTGCTTTCCTTGTCACGGGGAGGGGGAAACTGTGGTTTAACCAAAACATCTCACTACTTGGTTTTACACAGAGTATTTTTACTGTCTGTTTCCAACTCTAGTACTGCTCTTGCACAGATGGGGTGCCAGGGTAAAACCAGAAATAATCAGCAACAGTTCATTCTGACAGTGTTTATAAAACAAAGCTTTAGAAAAGACTGTTCAAATGTTTGGATTTTGCGGGTGACACATGCATTCTTTGATGTGGGAGAGTTAAACCAAAAGCCATATTCAACAAAAGTGTGTTGTATTCCGTCTATTACCATGTGCCAAATTGATCTCGAGGAGGGAGATCTTTGAATAGTGAACATTCTTAAAAACCATCTTTATACTACTTTTTAATGTGTCTGCATGTATACACTGGTGTTGAAATTGCTTTTCCATGTCGTATTCCTGTCTATTAAATGGAAAACACTAGCTTACGTTTTGCTGTTGAACACTCTATCCTATTTTTTGTTGGTTTTTTTTGAAATTAACACCATAGCATTTATTCAGGAGGGAGGGGACGAAGACACAAATTAAGGGTGAAAGCGTTCCGCGTGTGCTTACATGAAGAGCTGCATCTCGGCCAATCTAAACCAACCCTGACAACCTTCTCTAACCTGGGGGGCGGACGGAGTTTTCATTTACGTTTTCCTGCATTTCACTTTACATTGTTAAGTAACCTTTCCTTGTCATTAACCCTTGGGCTCAGCCAGGAAATATTGTTGTGCCATGCTTGTTTTCCACACCTCTCTCCACTTCTTCTTTGCTAGCCTTCTCCAGTCAGTAACTCTGTGGCTAACCTCCTTCTGCTTCACCTCCTGGTGCCAGTCATGGCTTAGAAGCCTCTTGCCTTCCGCCAGTGGTGTTTGAGGGAAGTAGTGGCATCGCTTTGACATAAGCCTTCTCCCACGAGTGATTTCCTCCCTTTCCTTTGTCAACAGAAGAATGGTTTATTATTGCCAGTTTTGGCCTCCTCAGTGCCCTTACACTCTGCTACATGATCATCAAAGCCACAGCTAGCTTGAATGCTAATGAGTAAGTAAATATTCAGATGTTTCTATATATTTGGGGGGGGGGAGGTGTTGTGGACAACACTGGGAACAAATACCAAGAGAATAGGGAAGGGGTTTTCAGTGTCAAATGCCTTTTCTGCTTTTCTCAAATCTACGCCTCTCTGTTAACCGCAGATTCCCGGGCAACCACTGAAGTCCATCTTTATTTATAGTTCTCTGGGTTGTCCAAGGAAACCTCTTTGCTGAGTGAAGACATGGAAAGGGAAAAAAAGAGAATATTTGTATTCAGGTTTTGATCAATGGTCTAGGTAAACAGTAGATTTCTGCCATTAAATCTTCATGTTCAAAATTAGCCTGGCAGAGCCAGAAATCACTACCATCAGTTACCTTTGAGAGTTTTCACCTCAATTTCTTAGTCAAACTTCGTATTTTAAAAAAAACCCTATATTCCTAGTTGGCACACATACAGCCAAGAAAAAAGGTATTTAAATAGAAAACTACCTTTTTGCTCTTAGGGAGAGATGAAAGCAATGAATACACTGCTGTTTCTTCTCAAGTGAGGGGAGCAGAGCAGCCTCCTGACCTCTCATTTTAGCATGCCTGAGAATTGCAGTCAAAGGAGTTCTTACATCCATGCTTTCCTAATTTTTGTAGACACCCCCAGTGCCTCCCTTCAGACAGGCTGGACAGGAAATGGCCCTAGCACATGACTTTCAATCTTTTTTAAAGTGGTGTGTGTGGGCAGGTGTAAATCTGCAGATATATTACCTAGGTACGTCTAGCTATTTTCACTTTGTGGACGCAACATCTGGGCTCGTGATAGATATTTAATCATAATTTATTTGGGGAAGGAAAGTGTCAACATCTTTGTCTCTGAACATCTTGATACAGCTGAGTTTTTCCATTAAATGTGTTTATCTTACCAAAGTGGGGTGAGATCCGCAGTCTCCTGTGCAGCCTGCAATTGTAGCTTTATAAATATAGCTTTTCTTCAATTGGTTTTGTTTCGTTGTTTTTTTATTTTGAGATAAGAGAAGGAAGCACATTTTGGACTTCAGTTAAGCTTTGGAAAGTATAAGGAGCCCTCAGTAAGATGGAAACAGGTCTAATAGTCTCCAGTGTAAAATTTTAGGCAGTCTCAAACTAATCTTCAGGATGGGCCACGATAAGTTCTTAGAGGTTCTGGTCATCAGTAACCTTTGATTACAACTAATTTACAAATCCTTTCCTCCTGTTTTCAGATGCTAATTCCCAAAGGCCTTAATGAAGAAAAGTTTTAGAACTTCAAATAACCCTATCAAGTCTCCCATTTATTACTTTTTTTCCCCCCATTTGTCGAGATCATAGAATTGCACCCGTCAGTCAGCAACTTGGCCACATAGCTGTAGCGGAACAGTTCATCTGCACTGAAAAACAGCTTGGGAAAGCATGGAGTAAGATGAGTTTTGAAACGGGAATGTCTGCATTTCTGGGCATTTCCACATCGCGAGGAAGAGGAGGAAGTATCTGTGGCCCATGTAGTATCATGCCGATGCGGGCACTGACAGCAGTTGCGTTTCTGCCTCGCACCTCATCCTTCTTAGCTGCCTCTCGCTGAGTCAGACCTGGGTCTGTTTGTTCTGAAAGGGCAGGCGGCCGCGTTGGCAGACGCTTTGGGCCTCTGGAGAAGGGTGTTCACGGTGGTGTGTCCGTGGCACAAACAGGGCGTGCTGATGGAAGGAGAGCTCCCTTCCCCAGTGATGGGAATGAAAATGTGAGCATATATAGGTGGATGCTTTGAGGCAGGCGTAAGAAAACTAGCAACCCCAGAAACCAGAGTGGTCAAAAATCACTTGCTTGGGTAACTGAGGTACCAAGCTGTAGCTTTAACCTCAACGGCTTTTCGACTGAATCCTTGGAGACCTAAGCATCCTCCACAAGTGCTGCTAGCTTCGACTACTCATTCTAAACCGTTTGAAATGTGCATGCATGAGGCTAATTCTAAGATTTATTGTTTCCTTCGCACCTTGTGTTCCCCAGTGCCAGACAAAGCGTTTCCTGTGCTGAATATCATGCCAGATAGATGGCAGCTCCCCTCTCACTGTGATTTCCATTAAATGTCATAACAGCACACCTGCTTTTTATGCTGTTCTCCATCTAAAAAGCAACACTGGCATACCTTACATCTGTTAATGTAGAGTTTTGAGAGGAAGCTGATGGGTTTTCTTATCAGAAAACAACAGCAGCAAAAATGAGGCCACGTAATATGCTGATGCAAGTAAAAGGTGCCAAATATTCTACATTAAAATTCACCTAAAAACATGTCCTGAGCCTGTTTTTTTTTTTATGTCCTTCCTGCACCTTAAACATTTATTTAGAGCAGCAGTTCTGGGGTTGTGTGTGTGCATATATATATATATGTCTAACTGTGTATAAATGTGTTTGTTTGTATGTATATATACAAACACACAGATTTTTAAATAGCTCCTGATAAAAGTAAACGGTGTCTGAGTGACAAGAAAACAAGGAATCAGCTGGTTTCTCTTGGGTTCATAATATTCATGCACTTTTACATAATTTAGGTAGTGATTTAAAGGAACAAAAGAGGCACATTTTGCTTTGCTTCTTAGGGGACAGTCAGAAATGACCATATAACTGTGTTTTAAAGTTGAGAAAGTCCAGATGTTGGACAGCACCACTTAGAGAGAGTTTTCAGTATCAGATGGAGTTTCCTCAAAAGTTTGGAAGTGTCAAGCCTCTGGCTGTCCTGTCCCTTTTCCTGCTCCTGCAAGAAGGATGTAAGGAGTGCAGACCTCTTGATGCTCTTCCCTCGTATAATTAGTTGTTTCGCACTAACTTACTTCTATGGGATTTTATTTTTATTTTGGTATCGGCAGAATTAACTTTAATATAAATATTTTGTTCCTTTTCTTTCTGCCCCACAGAGCAGAATGGTATTGAAGAAACGCTTTCCGGCCAATTGCCTTGGAGAGAGACACCTATTTTTATGCATCATTTATTGATCATGCAGCACAAGCAATTACTTAGTCCATTCTATTTTTTCATAAAATTTGCTGATGCCAAAGCTTTGTATTAAGGAAAAAGTGAAGAAATAAAACTTTAATTATGAAATCTTACTCTGTGAGAATTTTGTTTTTCTGGGACTTTGTGTTAGTACCTGTCTGACAGCCTTTTGTAAATTTTATAAGGTGCGTTATTTCCTCGGAAAGGTTTCATCTGTGCAGATCTCTGTTGTTCCCCTTTCGTCTGGGGACACGCAAGCTAACAAGTGGAAATCTCGGGCCTAACAAGTGGAAATCTCGGGCAGTGCCATTCTTATGATGCCTCCCAGCACTGGAAGGACCAACAAGTGCTACCAGCAATGGCTCCACACCAACCTGTTAGGGGAGGAAAGCTGGGCCAAGCATTCTCGTATACCGCGAGCTTACCTTGCCTCCAGCTGAGAATTAAGTTGAAACAAGAACGTTTTTCTCCATTTCTCCTCCTGGGAGGATTGCAGTACGACCCTTTTGTCGTCAGGTCATTGCTGAAGGTTTGCAACGCTGTTTTCTCGACACACACATCCTAAACTTTTTCTGTCTTTTGCTTTCGCCCCACCCTTTCTGATAAAAGTGAAGCTACTCTTAACCACTTCTCCCCTCCTAACGCCAAGTGAAAAGGTTTCCCCCCGCTGTCATCTGCGAAGCTTCTTTCATAGCAGCCACATAGTTTCTGTCAAATTCCGATTGTGCAAGATCGATAAAGGTCTGTACCGTAAGGGAGAAACCCTACGCAATCGTGTCCCGTCTTGCCGTGGCTTTTTTACTGGGGAGGAGGGAGGGGGGAAAACATCTCGTGGCTGTCCTCACTCGGCTGTCTCACACAAGTTTACTTATGCAAGCGGTGTGTGAGCAGTTTCACAACAGTCGGTTGCAACATGTGGATCTGATTCGCAGCTGAATGCTAATGCTTGAGTTAATGAGATGGGTAGATTAACAAGTCGGTAAGGAGAATATCACTGAAAAAAGTTAAAACCTATTCTGTGTTTGCTTGTTTGTGTTGTTTGGGTATCAAGATAGAGGCATTTGAAAAGTAATGTTTCCTAATTTAATTAAATGAACAGAGAGACCCAATTCTACTGTAAGATTTAATTTTTTTTATGTACTGGGAAAGAGAGGATTTAATTTAATTTTATTTTTATGTATAGGCACTTTCAGAATTTAGGAACGCAGCCAGTCACTACATTAAAACATCTTCTTATCTGTCCAGCAGGCTTCAGCTGAGAAGGCAGCTTTCGTAATAAGAAATGAAGTATGTGAGCACTTCAGTGCATTTAATAGAATTATTTTTCAGTGTGTCCTTGTGAAATTTTGAAAGAAACATGAAAACAATCAATAGAGCAGTAAGTGCATTTTGAAAGACTGGAAAACCCCATTGGACTTACGGAGAGGAAAAACCCACGTAGTGTGGCTGAGGCCTGTCTCCTTGTAAAATGCAGCGTGTGTCAACTGAGCGTTGTTGCCAAAACTGGAGGAATGTGGTTAGAGCGGGACTGAGGGTACAGGCTGGGAAACGAAGGGTGACTGTTGTTTTCACCCGTCTCTCAGCAGCGATAGCGAAACTGAGGAGTTTGTGGTTGTCTCCTGAGACAGAAATCCCTGAGCGCCTTGTAATGCTGTTGGGAGGGGTGCGCGGGACGGCCTGGCCAGCGTGGGGGACCCATTTGCAAAAGACACCACCAACGGTCCCGGTTCACGTTTCTTCTAGAGAACAGCAGCTGCAGGAGAGGTTGAGTGATACTGGGAACAAAACGGTTCACAGGGCTTGTAGTGCCTTTAATCCATAAAGGAGTTAAATAACCCGGGACTGTCCTTTTCAATCTTCCCTTTGAGCCTGTAGCAATTGTCTCAACAGTGTTAATGGAAACACAGACAGTATCTAGGTTAATTACAGGTCAAGCTAGCAACGTATATCCTATTTAAAACCTACAGGTTTAAATTGAAATCAGGGAGGTTTAGGCTGGACATCAGGAAGAAGTTCTTCCCGGAGAGGGTGGGGGGGCACTGGGACAGGTTGCTCAGAGAAGCTGTGGATGCCCCATCCCTGGAAGTGTCCCAGGCCAGGCTGGATGAGGCTTGGAGCAACCTGGTCTAGTGGAAGGTGTCCCTGCCCATGGCAGGGGGGGTGGAACGGGATGATCTTTAAGGTCCCTTCCAACCCAAACCATTCTATGATTCTATTAATGACATAAATACGTTCAAAGATGGGCTCTGCACCATCCTAGAAACTCAATTTTTTTATTCTGGATAGACACAGGAAGGGAATTCCCAAAGTTTTTGCTGCCTGCCATGCTTTTAGATATTCACACATGAAAGGTGAGTGATGTTACGCTCATACGCATAATGGTGATAGCAAGAGGAAAGAAGAGCTGGCCCCTTTTTCCAGATGTGGCGAAGATGGCAGGACTGGGCTGACAGAAGGGTGTCTGTAATCGGGTGTAGTTCAAGAGGGAGCAGCAGTGCCTGGCTAAACAGCTGCCTTCCAGGAAAGGATGTTGTGCGAAATAATCCCGCTCTGCTCTTCCTTAACCGAGAGGGCATCCAAAACGGGTTGGCTGAGACAGGGAGCGCTCTGATCAGATTTCCAGTTAGAGGTGCCGGAGGAGCTGTGGAGGGACTGCAGCTTCAGGCAGGAGATGGTCCTGATGAACCACTCTGAGGGTCAGATGGAAAGGGAACACCAGGTGATAACTCTGGGTGCGCCTGCAATGCTACAGCAATGCTGTCTCTTGAATTTCTGGCCTTGGTGTTGTGCCCACTTCTGCAGCATCCTGTAGTAGGTAGAAAGATCAAATCCAGGGCAGTATGTTTATTTGCAGACTCAATACCAGTTATCTGAAAAGGTCTTGAAAGTCTATAATGAAGAATAGGGGTAGAGAGCTGCAGGATTAATTTTCATGTACCAAAACTGAGTGCAGACTTGGTATTTGTTTTCCATACCTGAGGGATAGATCTGGATCTTTCTTGTGAAGCGCAGAATAGGGAAAGCAGGTTCCATCCTGGAACTGTGGATGTCTCTACTTGTCCTTAAAGTACACTTATTCCGTAAATTTATCAAGGGGACTGATGCCACGTTTCTGAACAACCACTAGCCCTTCTCTGCTCTGAGGGGAGCCGGGTCGCTGTGCCCTGCTGACGCTGTTTCTCCAGCTGTAAGCTGCGGGCAGTGACACCGCCCTGCTTATCGCAGCCCCTGGAGATGGAGTGTTGAACAGCACTGAGCAGCAGCTGCGTGTTAGCACGGGGCGCGTGGTGGAGGAGGGAGACTTGGGAAAAGAATGAATTACGAATCCCAAAAGCCGTCGGAGAGCCAAGAGATTTGTATCTGTATGGAAACATGCAGCCTCCCTGGAAGTGGGTGGCTTAAATTTCTTTTGCCAAGCAGCAAGAAAACATCACAGTAAAGAATTTCAGAGGTGTCGGACAGTGCCTTTTTCCAGATTAATTTAAAATACTTGTTGTCAGATGACCTGGCTGCCTGCTGATTAAATCTCTCCCTCGAATCTGCTAGGGTGGAAGTCTGGGTGCCCGCAGAGGAAATGACGGCCTGGGCTGTCTGCTTCCTAATCCCTTGTTTGACTTTTGTGTAATAAAAACAAAAGCAACACCAAGCTTTTAGAGTCCCCTTTGTTTCCTTTCAGCGTGGCTGTTCAGTGCATAACCTTGCTGCGGCTGGAGGAGAGGGAGATGAAACATCCAGTATCCATGGCTTGTTTCGACTGCGAGCTGCGGCTCGGTCGTCAAAAGTTAAATGATCCTGACCCAAGAAGAATCTTGAAATCAGTTTTATCTGGTGTCATTTCAAAATAGGTTCAGTTTTTTTGACAGAAGATGTACTATAATCAGCTGGAAGTTGTAGTGCCAAGTTTATGTTCCCTCAAAAACTCCACGCTGGATGAGGCTTGGAGTAAACTGGTCTAGTGGAAGGTGTCCCTGCCCATGGCAGGGGGGTTGGAACTAGATGGTCTTTAAGGTCCCTTCCAGCCCAAACCATTCTATGATTCTGTGATTCTATATGTATTTATTTATTTATTAAGCATTGCCCAGTTTTAGGGATTTATAAATTCGGGAGAGGGTCCAGGTCTAGAAAGTGGGTGTTCATCATCCCCTACCAGCTGTACCCCCTACCAGAAGAAAAGGTGTTTTGGATAGTAGCAGCTGAATTCTTCTTCCCTTACTCCTTTTGTGAGCTCTTTATTTCAGAAGGACGTAGGCTGGACTTAAAATTTGACAAAGAAAGGAGGATTTGAGCACCTAAATTCTGCCAGGACTAAAACTGCAGTCCCCTAAGCGTCTTGCTCCACTGAAGCCTGAAACCAGAGGTACCTCGGTTTGCCGAGTGCCTTGTTGATGAACTTGGAAGCTTTTCAGTTGCCTCCAGTTTGGCTCATGTGGTGCATTGTAATCTAAGCAGCCTTGCTCCTAGCTAATCCTCACTGGGATCGAGAAACTGAGTAATGAAACGTTTTGGCCAAGGGCCCGATCTGATAGATGCTCTCAGAGAGAACCGTCTGTACACCAGCGGGGCTGGGCTCCTTGCAAAACAGTTCTGTGGGTTTGGAGAGCCACGGGAATGCCAGGTCACTGAGGAAAAACACCAACTTCCATTCCCCATGCTATCAACAGCCACTTGATGCTTGTTTTGGGTATCACCGATGCTGGAGAAGAGAGTTGGGTCTCCTTTGGTTCTGTGTAAGGAACTATGGAGGTGCCTGTTTCTGGAAGGCGGGTCCAGGTGGATGGAGGTTGCTGAGCTCTGGGGGAGGTCAGGCTCTCAGCAGCATTGGGACAGTCCTTGCTGACCCCCTCACTCAGCCCGCTCATTCCTTTGGAGCCCGTGCCGGAGCGTTCTGTGCTGGTGCATGGCCCAGGGACCTGGGCACCGACCGAAGGTTTCTGGGGTTCTCGAGGAAGCACGTGCCAGCTTTGCAGGGCTGTAAATCAACAGCAAGCACCGAGTGCCAGACTCGGGCCTGCCCCTGCCTTGCTCAGACTTGACCTGCCTTATCTGCAAGAACCATTTGAGGTGGGACTGTTCGCGCATAAGGAAAGTAGCTGTTTTGAACTGGCAGG